CCCCCCCCCCCCCCCACAGGATGCCCAGTTGCCCTGTTTACACTGGGGAGCCCAACTGGAGGAGGGGGGCGGTGGCCGTCCTGATAAAAGCAGCGGGGGGGGAGCCTGGGGGGAGCTTGGGGGGCAGGTGGCCGTTTCCTTGGGGGAGGAAGCCTTGCTGGGAATCCCTGAGGCACCCGGAGCTCACCCTGCTTTTCCTTCTTCCTTCCCTCCGGCCTCCCTTGCAGGAGCAGAGACATGAAGGCCGGCTGCCCCATTGTGGAGAAACCGGAAGGAGGAGGAGGTGAGGCTTCCCTGCCTGTGGCGAAGGGCTGGAGGACCAGGAGCTGCTTCTTCCCCGAGGGGGGCAGGGGGTCTCCCTTGGCAGAGCCTTTCCTCCCGGCCTTCCCCTGGGCTGCCAATCCCTGCTCTGGGGCTGAGAGGGGGCGCCCGGAGAGGGTGGCAGCGGCCGCTGTGCCCACCTTCTCTGGGACCGCAGGTGGCCTGTCGTCTCCGGCACTCAGCTGGGCAAGGGGGTGGAGACGGTCGGCTTTCAGGGGTCCTGACTGCGGCCTCTGCCTCCCGGTCTGCCAGGCTACCATTTCCCTGACTGGGCCTACAAGACCGAATCCAGCCCGGGCTCCCGCCAGATCCAGCTCTGGCACTTCATCCTGGAGCTCTTGCAGAAGGAGGAGTTCCGGCACGTGATCGCCTGGCAGCAGGGAGAATACGGGGAGTTTGTCATCAAGGACCCGGACGAGGTGGCCCGGCTGTGGGGCCGCAGGAAATGCAAACCCCAGATGAACTACGACAAGCTGAGCCGGGCCCTCCGGTGAGCGTGGGCCCCCCGGAAACAACCCTTGGGCTGTAGATGGGGGGTTTGGGGGCAGCCTGGGGAATGCCTGCAGTCTTAGCGGGAAGCACTCAGGGGAGATGGTTCTGCAAAGGCCCACCTGCCTTCCTCATCCGTTCACCCTCCCTGGCGTATCTGGGCTCCCACATCCCCGCAAACTCCCCATAGTTTTGGAGGGCCCTCCTGTCCCAAAGATCCCGATTGGGGCTAGATTTCCTGAGCGGGTGGGTGGGTCTGTGTTGCCAAGGAGCCCCCCTGTGTGGGGAAAAAAAACTCCCAGAGTCTGAAATCCACTCTGGAAAGTGGCTGCCGTCCCCTGGCCGCCTTCTTGAGCTCTTCCCCCGTGCCTCACCCTTTGGGTTGGCAGAGCAACGGACTTGAGCCGGTGCCAAGCTGTGAGCGCTGGTGGCCCGGGTGGCACGTCCTTGGCTTTTCTTCCCAGGAAGCTGAGCACCCTTGCCAGCCTTCTGCCCTCTGTCCCTTTCAAGGAGGCGTGACCTGTGTTTGCATATTGCAAATCTCTAATTCCTTCCTTCCTTCCTTCCTTCCTTCCTTCCTTCCTCTCTCTTTCTCTCTCTTTTTCTCTCTGTATCTCCCTCTCAATCTCTTTTTGTCTCTCTGTCTCTCTCCCTCTCTCTCCCTGTGAGTGTGTGTACGGGGCAAAGGCCAGATAGAAGGGCTGACACAGGGTCTCTCCCCTGCTACTCGTGCCCCCCCCCCCAAGGAGACTGATGGGTGTCTCTCCCCCCCTCGGCAGGTACTACTACAACAAGCGGATCCTGCATAAGACGAAAGGCAAGAGGTTCACCTACAAGTTCAACTTCAACAAACTGGTGATGCCCAGCTACCCCTTCCTGAACATCCGCCCCACCGGTGAGCAGTCCGTGGGCCCCGGTTCTGCCAGGTGGGGGTTGGGGGGGGGAGGCCTGGCGGGTTGGTCAAGGGAATATTCTCATTCATTCCGCCTGCGAGTGACCCTGGTTGGCCACCCTCCCGGGCTCTCCCTGCGGAGTGGGCTGGGCTGAGGAGGACGAGGGTCCGGCCCGAGGGAGCCTTTCCAGCTGAGGGCCCAGACAGCCCAAGAGGCAGATTCCAGCTGCTCCTTCAGCACCTGGGAATCATGGTCTCAGTTCTCCACCACCCCTAGGAGTTCTGGCTGAACACCTGACGGCCTGGCTTTTTCCCCAGCCGAAGGGCGGCTCTGGCCCCTTTCGCCAGGGGCTCCGACGGGCAGGGCCTCGTTTCCTGGGGCTGCCAGACCCGCCTGCTGCCATCACAGGGGCCCCTCCCGTATTCCTCTGCAGGCCCCTTTTCCTCCCGGTGTTCGGCCACTGGCGGAGGAAGGGCTGGAGGCTTTTCCTGGGCTTGGGAAAAAAGGCAGGCAAGGGAGACGCCCTCCCCAATGTGGGAACCAGCAGTAGCCGCCCCGGGCCAGGCAGAGGAGCTCCGGCCTCCTCGGCTGATGCTTCGGGCAGTGCTGCTGGGTGTGGCTGGGAAGAGGGCGAGGCCAGCCGCTTCCCAGGGTTCTGCCCCCCCAGGTGGACCTCCGGAGCCCCGGCTTTCCCCAAGGGCCCCTTGCAAGAGGCTGTGCTTCCCCAGGCCGAGCTCCTTCCTGCTGCCCCCGCAGGCCTCCACCCCTCGGCCCACCCGTGCAGGAGGCCCCCCCCCCCCGGGCTTTGCTCCTTTCTGCCTGCTCTTTGGAGGGAGGGGGTGTCCCAGGGTGCAGGTGCCTGTTGCCAGGGAGGTCCGGCCACGTGATCCTCAGCCGAAAGCCGGGCCCCAAGAGCGGAGCAGGGCTGCACCCCCGTGGCCTGTACAAGCGCAGGAACAAGTCCGGGCAGTTGCTCACCCTGATTCCTCTCGGCCACGCCCTGCGCTCCCTCGGGCTGGAAGCTGCCCTGTGATTACAGCCTCTTTCCTTTCCTCTCGCCTGGGGAGGTGGAGGCCCCACCCTGCCAGGGAGGGAGGGAGGGAAGGAAAGGGCCAAGGTTGAGTCTCTGCTGCTGGAGGGGGGGGGGGAACTGCAGGGCCATTTCTGCCCTCTTCTCTGCCCTCTTCTCTGCCCTCTTCTCTGCCCTCTTCTGCCAGGCAGCCTGAGAACACCAAGAATGTGTTGTCCTGACTGGGAAGGTGGCATCCTCACCCCAGTTAGGCCGTCCAGCCATCTGGGGGTGCGGAGGGGAAGGGGGCTGGCTCAAGACAGGCCTTGGCTGCAGCTGCGTTCTTACAAATGGGAAGGGGTCTCTGAAGGGCCCCTTGGAGAAAGACCTCTCCCCAGATGGCAGCAGGGGGGGGGCTGGGCAGACCTCCTCCTGGGCGTCTGGGCAGCGGTCGAGCGAGGGTGGGGGCTGCTTCACCAGGCCTGGATCTCCATCATTTCATTGCCCCAGAAGCCCAATCCCACCTCTTGTGTTCCTGAGACCCTCCTCTGACTCCCCCTCCTCTCTTCCCTGCCAGGCGCCGTGCCACAAAGCGCCCCTCCGGTGCCCACGGCCTCCTCCCGCTTCCATTTCTCCCTGGAGAGCCAGTCGCCCGGCGAGGACTCCCAGCCGGGCTGCTTCTCGGCCAGAGCCCTGGGGCCGCCGGGCCAGGAGGCGCTCAGCAACGGCAGCGCGGACGAGAAGGCGTCTCCGGCGCTGGAGCTGGACGGGGGCTCTCCCGATTGGCACCGCAGGGTCGACCTCCTGGCCTCCTGCAACACGGCGGCCGCCCCGGGCACCGTCGGCCACCCGAAGCGCAAGCCGGACCTGGTGCTGCCGCTCTTCGGCCGGGGCGGCCTCTACCCAGACGCCCACAGCCCCTTTGCCGGGTCCCCCCTCCCTCCCCGCGGGGGGGTGCTCAACGTGCCCCTCTCCCCCGCCCTGTCGCTGACCCCCACCCTCTTCTCCTACAGCCCCTCCTCGGCCATGAGCCCCTTCGCGCCCGGCGGCAGCAGCTGCTTCTCCTTCAGCCCCGAGGAGATGAAGCACTACCTCCACTCCCAGGCCTGCTCCGTCTTCAACTACCACCTCAGCCCCCGGACCTTCCCCCGCTACCCGGGCCTCCTCCTCCCGCCCCTGGCCTGCCAGCCGCCCCACGAGGAGCAGCCCCCCTTCCCCATCAAGCTGCAGCCCCCGCCCGCCGGGCGCAAGCACCGGGAGCGCCACGAGAGCGAGGGGGGCAGCGGGCCGCCTCCGTCGCCCCCCCGGATCAAGCTGGAGAGGCCCGTGGATGAGGAGCCCGGCGGCACCGACTCCCCGGAGAGAGTCCCGGCCGGGCGGGAGGAGAGCGAGGGCTCCGGCCCTCCACTGCGACGCCCGGAGCCGCCACGGGAGAAGAGGCTCTTCCTGCACCCGGCCGCCCCGGCTTGGCCGGGAGTCTCCCTGGCGCCCGTCCTGGCCAAGAAGCTCAAGCAGGAGGAAGGGGCCCCCGAGAAGCTCCCCGCGCAGGAGCCCGGGTGGGAGCCGGGGCCCCCGGAGAAGAGGGAGGATGCCCTCATGCCCCCCAAGCTGCGCCTGAAGCGTCGCTGGAACGGGGACCGGCTGGCGGAAGCCCCCGAGGAGACCCCCAGCAGGAAGCCCTCCTGGGCCGGCAGCCTGGACACACCCCACATCCTGCTGGCCCCCAAGGCTGCGGTGGATACTTAGGACGGGTGGGGGGGGGAGACAGGGTGGCTCCGAGGTGTCATGTAGCAAAGGTTTTCCTGGCTGGGGGGGGGCAGGCGGAGGGCGAGGAGGGCTTCACTAACTTGCGGGGTGGGGGGGGGGGGGGTTGCTTTGTGTGTGTGTGTATGCGTGTGCATTGCAGGTGAAATGCAGTTTTTCATGTCCCGAGGGAGGGGGGCTCCTTGGCTTGCAAAGCCCCCTCCTCGGCCATTTCCGTGTGGCTGACGCAGCAGCAGCGCCTCTGATGGGCCCGCCCACGGGGGGGGGGGGGCTTGTCTGAATCTCTCTGGGGGCTTTCTGGCTGGTCTCCCTTCCTGGTCAGAGCTGGACGGTGTTGTGAGTGGAAATTTGGGAGTGGGGGGGGGCTGGAACATTGCACTGTCTTTCAGTTTTGGGAGGGGGCGTTTTGGGAGGCGAGGGAGGCCGACCCCCCTGCAGGAGGGCTGGGGGCTGCTGGTGCACTGGCTGGGCAGCCTTCAGAGCGACTCTCATGTTGGGGGGGTGGAAATGAGGGTGGGTGGGTTTCACCTTTTTTGACTGTAGAAGAAGAAGAAGCCATGGGAAGTTCAGCTCTCGAGCTTTCAGGGGTGGGGAGGGGGAGTGAAACGGAGACCCAGATGCCTTTAACTTCAGCCCCGGCTTAACCCTAACCCCTCCCTGGTTCCGGTCTTTGGGGAGGGGGGTCCTAGACAGAGAGATTCCATGGCCCCTTTGCGAGGGAGGCTCTTGAATAGCTGGGGGGGGGGTCTCCACAGGCCGGGAGCTCGGAGTGCTTGGCCCTCCTGGAAGCTCTTAACTGGGCGGGGGGGGGCTGCCGAATCTTGAGGAAGGGGGGGTTGGTGGCCTCAGTTGCACCAGGCTCTTTCCTGGGGGGGGGGGCTTTGCAGCAGGCACAGTCTTAGTGCCCCCCCCCACCTTGCCAGAGCAGCTTAAGGATGCTGTGGAGATGGGGGGGGCTCTAAATGAGGCTGCCCCTCTATTCTGTCCCTTGGAGACGTCTGTGGGGTTCGTGTTTGTAGCATGTGAAGAAAGCCATGGGGGGGACTTCTTGGAGGAGGAGGCTGGGGGGGGGGACAGGAGGTCTCTGCTCTTAACGTGTGCAGGCGGGGCAGTGGGTGGGTCTGGGGTCCGGTGGGGAGCTCTGCCCCTTTGCTTCAGCTGCCCCCTTGCATGTCCAAGCCTTAGCGCCTTCCTGCTGCATGGGGTGAGGGGAGGGGGCCCCCNGGCTCCGCGGGGGAGGGCGGGGGTCGCCTGCCTCCCGAGGCTCCCAACTCACCGTGTCCCCGCGGAAGACCTGCCAGTCCTCCTCCGGGATGGCCGGCAGCACGGGCTTCTTCCTGCGGGCCGCCTTCCCCGCCCGGCCGAGCTCGGGGGCCCAGGGGGGCGCCAGCTTCTCCGCCATGGCCAGCAGCCGCGTCAGCCTCATGGCGCCTGCAAGGGGCGCAAGTTGGGGAAGGGGCTCCTTGCAACAGCGCCGCCTGCTGCAACCGGCGCCCGCCAGCCGCGCAGAGCCGTTGCACGGGGCGCCCGCCGCTCACCTCCTCCTCCTTTGCCGCGCTTCCCGGCAGGGCGGGGCGAGCACGTGGGGCGGCCCGCGGTGCATCCTGGGGTTTGCAGTCCTAGCAGGCGCAGAGCGTCAGTCTGGGGCTCCCGAGCCTCTGCAAGCGCCCGCTTAGCGCGTCCCATTCGCAGCGCCTCCTGGCTGCCAAGCGGGCGGGGGAGAGGCTGGCCTGGATGGCAGGGTGACAGCGGCTGGGCTGCATCGGGGCGGCCTTCCCTCCCCCCAGAATCCCCCAGTTGGCATTAACGTTGGGGGTCCAAATCATGCTTTTTTAAATTTTCTTTTTACTGCTGTGTGCGGCTGGTGTCAGAATCTCCCTGTGAACCTTCCCGTTTTATTCTGAAATGTTTCGATTTCCGCATAGATTCACTGGAGAAAAGGCATTTCACAGGACAACAGAATTGACAGTCCTCTTTAGCTGCAGGGCGCCTGACCCGGGGTCCCCCTCCCCAACTTGGGGCTCTCTCTTTAGTATTATTCACCCGGCCTTTGTCAAAGGAATGCAACCCCCCCTCCCCCCCCTCGCCATTGGGGAAGTAGAAAAGTTGGGGAGCAGCGCTCAGAAAAAGAAAGGAAACACCCAGGATTTGTGTGATTAGAGACTGCAGATCTCTGTTTATGCTGCCCTCTGTGCTTCCAGGAGGCCCACCAGCCCCCCCTCCGCCTCGCTTTCCTGGCCTCTCAGGCACCCCCGTTAGGCAAGGGAGGGGCGGGAGGGAAGTCCGGGTTGCAGGGGCTCTCCGGGGGGGCCCTCGGCTCCTCCTGCTCCTCCTCCGGGTCCAGCTCTTGCGGTGGGACCTGAATGCCCAGCATGGTCTCCACGTGCCACAGCCTGGTCTTCACAGCCTGGAGGTGCTCCCTCAGGATCTTCATGGACTTCAGGCAATCATGGCAACTGCGAAGATCCTGCCTGCCTGGAAGGAGAGAGCCCCCCGGGGGGGGAGAGCTGATGCCTGTGCGGAGGGGGTAAACTCTGGGCCCTTTCGGCTCAGAAGCACCCTCGCCCCCCCCCCCCTCAAGGGAGGAGGAGCAGGGGAAGGCGCCCCCCAACGTACGCTCTTGGAAGTGGGAAGACTGGAACTCATGGGCCGCTTGTAGCTCCTGAATCAGGGCCATGATCTCTGGGGTCACAGGAGCCAGAAGGGAAGGCTCCGGGGAAATGTCCTGCGGGGCCGACGGTTCAGGAACCAAGGGGTCGGCCTGGGCCTTGCCTTCTAGATCGCCTGCTGAGGGGAGGGGAGGTAGAATTAGCCTTGGCAGCTGCTCGGGAACCTAGGATGGAGCTCACCGCTCTGGGGCTTACCATTTGCAGCCGCTGGGCCTGGTTGGGGCTGCAGCTGAAGGAGGCAACCTGGGAAGCAGGAAAGGAAGGACACATGTCAGTGCAGGCTCTCCCCCNAGTCAACCCTGAGCCGGTGAGATTTGAACTGCTGACCTGCTGATCTAGCAGTAGCCTGCAGTGCTGCATTTAACCACTGCGCCACCTGGGTATTCCCGCCTTGTTGCCCGCTCCGTCCTGGCCACAGCTCCGGCCCTTGCTCCATCCAGAGCTCGGCGTGTCCCTCTCAAAGGCCAGCCAGGGGCAGAGCCTGCGGGGTGCTGATAGCAGGTCACCGCTTTGCCCCGTGAAGGGAGGCGTGTGGGATGAGAAAACCCCTCCCGGGTTGCCCGTGATTCACGCGCTCTCCCTCCCCGGAGCGCCCCTTGGCAGGAGGGCAGGGAGCGGCTCCCTTTCAGCACGGCCTGCAGCGTCATGGAGCCTGTCGCCCAGGGAGTCACACGGGAGGCTCCCGGGCAGGTTGTGCCAAGGCGGGCAAAGAGGGCAGCTGGGGAAACGCCACTCCGGCTCCCCACCTGTTTCTGGCGGCACCCTCCCTGGTTCCTTTCCCCCCTGGCGAGGCCCAAACCTTTGCAGACCCGGCTGCGGGTGGCAAGTCAGCTGCAACCGACTTCGTGTGCTTAGACAGAACTAGGATTCCCAGGCTCATCGTCCTGGCTCCAGTCTCCTAAACGGCCTCCATGGAGGCTTCCCATCAGCAGGGCGGCCTCTTCCCCTGCAGGCTGCAGCCAAGTAGGCCAAGAACACGAACCCGGAGCCTGTCTGAGGCAATGGAAAGGGCCTCGGGCTCAGCTCCACCTCGAAGGCTTCCAAGCAGCCAGTTCCTCTTGTTCCTCCCAGTGGCTTCTGGGGCTTCTGCAGATACGTTAGAACAGTGTTTCTCAACCTTGGCCACTTGAAGATGTCGGCTGGGGAATTCTGGGAGTTGAAGTCCGGACATCTTCAAGTGGACAAGGTTGAGAAACACAGTGTTAGGAGCAGCCGGAAACCCTCCCTGGACGCTCTGTGTGTGTGTGTGTATCTCGGGAGCTCCAATTGCCTAGGGCCGGGGTGAAGCCCCTTCTTGCCCTCCAGATCCTGCCCCCCCCCCCTCGTGGCTGTTACTTCTGCCTCGAGAAAACAGGGTGCCGAGCTGGGTTTATTGCTCAAGAGGCTGTGTGCCCCAATGGGTAACGACCAACAGCTTCCACTGCTGCTGAAGCATGGAAAACAGGTGGCAGGCCCTGGGAATGGACCAACCCGGGGGGGGGGGGAACCCCAGCTCCCCCCTTTTCCTCCAAGGCACCTTTTGGCGAGAGACTCCGGCGCTGGCTCTCTCCTAGGCAGGATGTGGCACTTCCTGGAAACACACTTCCTTGCCACATCTTCAATCAGCCAGATTTCCTCCGCCTGCCAGTCTGGGCCACCGATTGTGTAGAGTGTTTTGGGGTTCCACCCTTCCCTGGATCGGGAGCCAGCTTCTCCCAGAAAATTGCCTTTCCTTGCGGATCCTGGGATGGCGCTTCTAAAGGGAAGCGGAGGGTGAAGGTGGCCCGGGCAGAGGGTGGCAAGCCTCTTCGGGCAATGAGGGATGAAGGTCCCAAAGGATGGCACCCTTTGAAAGGCCCCGATCCGGCTGCCTCTCCTCATCCGGGGGTTTTCCCGCTGGAGGATTCCGTTCTCAGCAGAGGCAACGGGCTCCCTTTGGGCTTGGCCAACAGGTGGGCACCTTAGATGCCCCACCCTCAAAGCACATGTCCTCCTGGTAGGCCTCTGCCACCCCCACACCAGCCTGGGTAAATGTCTGGTGGGGAGTGTGGCTGGAACCTCTGGCCGGCCGTCGCTGTTAGTTAATTCGTGTGTCCTTCTTAACTGGGTCAGCCCAGGACAGCCTGGGAAGCTAAGAAGCTGCACGGAAGGTGTAGAGGGTGGGGGGGGAGGGTCCCCCTCCCAGTTTCCTCAGCCCCCCCCTCCTCCCCTTGGCCGCAGAGCCAGCATTGCATCTCCCGCAATCAGCTTGATGAGACCGACGACTTAAGAGGTTTTGGACAAGCGGCCCCCCTCGGCCTCCCTGCTCAGCTCAGTGGCGCTAAGCAGATTGCGTGTGGGGGGGGGGGGATTTGGCCGAGCGAGCGAGAGGCTGCGAGGCGATTCCAAGCTCTCCCTGCCTGCCAGCCAGGCCGGCTCAACTGGAATTCTGCTTGCAAGGAAAAACCTGCCCTCACGCAGGCGGAAACCACCTGTTGGAACCTGCCGGGTGCCCCAATCAGAGGCCCCGGGAAAGTGTGGAGCAAGAAGGAAGGAAGGAAGCCGGATCCATCTGAAAGGATCTCCACAGTGGATGTGGCTCTTTTGTGCCAGCGGCCCTTTCCCAGTTTGCCATGCCCACAGTTGATGCCAGGCATGCCTCCAGCCTGCTCCCGTGCTTGGGGTGCCCACGGGGGCTTTTGCTCACCCTTTCCGTGGCCCAGAGGACCGTGCTCCTGGGGCATCCTTTGACAGAGGGGGAGCCCTCCTTTCCTGGCTGGGGAAACGTTTTCTCCTGGAGGGAGGTAGAATTCGCCCCTCTCCATTCACTTGTGCCCAGTCTGGCTTTTAAAACCCTCCTTGTGGAAAGGAAACCGGATTCTGTCCTCTGCAGAGTTGCTGCCTTCGTCCCAATCCTTCCCTTCTCGTTATTTCGTGTTTTATGTTTCAAGGGTTTAAATTTTAAAACCCCTTTGCATCTTCTCCGTTTGGAAAAGCAATCTGTAATGTAGCAACCGATTCTGGTTGGGGCTGTTATCCTGCCTTTCATCTTCCACATACGGCTTAACGATCTCGTGTTCTCTCTTGTATGTATTGCAACTCTCCGTGGCCCAGAGAGCCTTGCGGTGGGAAGGGAAAAAGGGGGCCAAGGGAAACGGGAGGACGGACCTGGGCTGGGAAAATAGAAACCGGGAGAATTTCTGGATTAAGAGCTTTAGGGAGCAGAGGGCAGCCCAGCTAGGAAGGAAGGCAATTTGGGGGAAGGGGTTGTTTTATCTGAGCTGCTTCCCTGAGGCTTCCCCAGGCCCAACCAAATGCTCCTGGGTGGCTTTGCAAGCGGCTCAAAGTGGCCCTCGGGGGCCCTTCCATTTGCCCTCATGTCAGGCTGCTGTGCCAGATGCCTTGTGGGGAGGTCCTCCTGGGAGCCCCCTCTCTCCCAGGGTCCTGCTGGGGGACAGGTAAGGGGGCGGGGGCAAAGGCCTGCCCTGGGGAAGGGGCTTCAGGAAGAGATTTGGCCCTTCCTGGCTGGGTGTACAAGCCGAATCCTGCCCGGCCAGCCTGCCCTACTTCGACCGTCCTCTCTGTCAGGGGCAGACAGGAGATGGGACATCCAGGGGACGGGAGAGCAGCCGGTTCCTGCTACAGCCGGGGGGGGGGGGCTGTGTGCCGGGGGGGAGGGCATCATCTCCAGCGCTGGTAAAAGGTAGAGAGGCTCCGGAGCCAGCTGGTTAATTCTAGGCAGGAGGAGTCCTAATTTAAACAGCGTGGAACAATTGGAGGGCGTTGGAATTATGGTATATTTCAGCAATGGTCAATTAACGGGAAATAGCATGGCGATGCAATCGGAAGGCCTGGGCCTTGCAAAAGGAGGAGGAGGAGGAGGAGGAGGAGGAGGAGGAGGAGGAGGAGGAGGAGGGTGCTAGCCCCACCAGCTCTGAGGCCGAATCTCCTGCCCGGAGGGGTCCCATCAAGAGCCACCCCCCCCAGGGGCCCTTCCTGCACTTCTGAAAGGAGGAGCCTTCGGTCGGCCGCTGTTATTTGCACTCCGGAAAGGCCGATCGCGGAGGCTGCTCAGCAGCTGAAGGATTTCAGCCTCTCGGGGAACAGCCTTGGCTCCGCTCCAGCGCAGGCTCCAGCCGAACTCACCTCTGAGCAAACAGGCTTAGTTTATTATTAATGAATTAACTTTGTACCCAGGTAAGAACGATTGTTCTGAGGCGAGGAAAGTTTTGCCGTCCCTCTGGCTGCCTTCGCTCCCTCCCGAGTGATCAGAAGGGAGAGTCCTTCGGGGGCCTGGCTGCTCCTCCCTCCCGGCCTTCTGCACCTTTACACCCCCCCCCCTTCTCTGATCTTCGCCCCCCCCTGGACACCCCCCCTACCTTCCTGCCTCCCCAGTTCCTACTGTGGTTTAAGCACCAAAGGCAAGTTTCTTCCTTCAGCCACTTCCCCATCGAGGCTTCACCCCTCATTCTGGCAGGAGGGGCCCCAGACCCCCTTCCCGGCCCTTTGCAGGACCCTCGGAAGGAAGAGCCCCAAACGGACCCCCAAGTGCTGGGCATGAGTGCTCCAGATGGGGAGCACGGAAGACCCTTCCCTGGGCTCCCACCGGTGGCCAGTGGCCCCGTGACCACCCCAGGGAGGTTGGGGCGCCTCTGAAGGAGACGCTCCATGCAGCTAGTCCCTCGGAGGAGGCTTGGCCTGGCAGAAAACCGGTCCGTGGCCTGGGGAATGAAAATGGGCTCTCCTCAGCCACGGGCGGGCGGCTATTTAGACCTGGACGAGCCCCCCTCCTCCCTTGGGGGAACGGAAGTGCAGGGGGAGCAGCCCTCCGTCTTTCTGCGCAGGTCCCGGCGATCCGGTCCAGGGAGAAGCACCAGCAGCCCCTGGTGCCCAGTTGACTTTATTGCAAGGAAGCTGCTCGGCTCCAGAGGGTGTGTGGGCAGCTCGGCCTTACCTCCCCCGCCTCCCGTCCACCCAGGGCAGGAAGAGAGACTCCTGAGGCATCGGTCACTTTATCTGCAACACCAAAGCAGGGAGAGTCAGCCAAGAAGGATCGGCTGAGGATGGGACTTTGCGCAAAAGGGAGCCGGATGGGGGGCAGAAAACCCCCCCATTTCTTGATGATGCTTTGAACTTTTTCCCCCCTTGCTGAATACTTTTGAGGGCAACGCTTTAAAGGCATTTTCCTGCAAAACGGCAGGATATTCTAGAAGGTGATTAGCATCATGGAAAGGACCTGGATGGTCTGAGATGCCCCTTTTCTGTCTCTGCTGCCTTTAAAGTTGCGGTAATAAATAAAAGAGCATCAGCCGGAGTTATGAAAAAATCATGTTAATGAAGGAATAAATGAAATCCATGCAGGAGGAGGAGGAGGAAGATTTTTTTTGGGGGGGGCAGCCTGGAGCCCCCCTTTTCTTCAGCATTGATGCACAGCAATTAAAAGGGAGAAAATATCCCCCCCCCCAGCTGCCCCCCAACCTCCACTTTCAAAGGTGGGGAAAACGCCTCCTTTTTCCTGAAAGTGCTCACCGCCCATCGTGAGAAGCGCTTCCCCGCTTCGGCCGCCCCCCTCCCTCCGGAAGGAGCAGCACCCCCCTACTCAGTAGCAGCCCAGGAAAGGGGCGGAGGAGGGCAGCGGCCCCTGTTGGGATGGGAGACCACCAGGAAAGCCCCGGGCGGTGGGTCGGAGGGAGGGGGGCGGCGGCCCCTGTTGGGAGGGGAGCCCACCAGGAAAGCCCGGGGCGGTGGGTCGGAGGGAGGGGGGGGCGCCTGGTGGGAGGGGAGCCCACCAGGAAAGCCCGGGGCGGTGGGTCGGAGGGAGGGGGGGGCGCCTGGTGGGAGGGGAGCCCACCAGGAAAGCCCG